ACGGTGTGAAGGGTGATTTATCCTTCGTAAAGTTAATGTGACAATCAAACAGATACTACACGTTCAATGCCTGGCACTGAGCAGGTGCTCATATGGAATTGCTTCCTGCCCCTTTCTTCTGTGTCCGGCATTGCTCTAGGCATCAGGAACATAAGAATGAGTAAGATCATGTGTCTCCTCTCTGTGGGCTCCCTAACTAATAGTGTGAGACAACCAGAAATACCAACAGGGCATACAAGTCCATTTGCTGAAGTATAGTAAACACACACAGGCTAACGGAGCCCAGAGCAGGAAGGGACTTCCACCTTTCCCCAGGAGTTGATGCTTACCGTCACATCAGGCTCTTGAGCTGTCATTTAAATTCTGCCAGAAACATACCCTTCCAGCTTGGAGTAACTATTCATCCCTCGGAACTACTACAGGGCAAAGTGAAGCTATCCTACAAACCATATTTCCTTAGTTCTGTTTTGAGTGCCTACAGATCTCAGGTAGGGGACTAGCAACTTGGGATATAAGACTAATGGGCACAATTTTTCCCTGCATGAAGTACACAGGGTATCTGTGGGAACAGGCAGAGATGAGTAAATATACAGTCCACAATGTTCCAATATACACTTCAACGAACAACATCGTCTCATTTTCCCACATTGCCATTGTGTTTACTTTGGCCAACACAGTACTCCCTCTTCTAATGATTCTTGAATTAACAATAGGCCTATTTTTTTCCCCATGTTATCCATCTTGGAACTGATTAAAGTGATATTCAAACTCATTTGATCACAATTATTAGTAATTTTTGAACTTGTATATTATATGTACATGTACTACTACTATTAACTAATTACATACATGCATTACTACTATTAACTAGTTTCTCAAGGCATAACATACACAACAGGCAAATACAAGGCAATACAAATCATCATTAATAATACTTTATTAAATGTATATTTAATGTATATATATTATGTAATATATTATGTATATATATTATGTAATATATGTATATATTATGTAATATATGTATATATTATGTAATAAATGTATATATTATGTAATATATGTATATATTATGTAATGTATATGTAATATATTATGTAATGTATATATTATGTAATATATTATGTATATTAAATGTATACTGTATATTAAATGTCTCAATAATTTCAATTCTTGAGGATCCATTTCAATATCAGATGTCATGAGATTGTCATGGTTTTCTCTGCATTGTTTCTGGAGAAGCCACATGAGGAATAGTGGATTTCTGCTAGCAGTTATGAGATTGGATTATTGCAAATATTATCTTCCACCCACAGTTCCATGTGGAAGGCCATTTTGTGAGGGCTAGTTGAGTTAAAACCAGGTATTATTATTTATGAAGCCCTTACCTGGTACATGAAAACGTCAAGTGCCTGAGCAGCCCCACAGCAGATGAAGATAAGGAGTGGCTGTCAACTCCAGTGCTTTGTGAGACTCCCCCTCCTCCCACAGGACCCATCACATCCCTCATCTGAGCTTGACCTTCTGACATAGACAGAGTGAAGCCACCTGTGAGATATTGGTAAAGTTCATTTTTTTTCAAATGCTAGATAAACATTAACAGGAGCTTTACTATTTTATTTTTGCTTCCCACTGGTTAATTTTGTGCTCCGTTGGAGCATACGCATGCTCTTAGAGCCCACTCTCCAGTCCATTCTGTTAAAATGAAGAGCTCCACACGCCCGACTCGGCTGAACGGTTGCTCTTCGGTTGGTCAGGGACACTGTGGAGCTCAAGCAAATCTGATGCTTCTAATACAGGAGCATTTGAATGAACACTTGAAAAATGGCTACAATCTTCTCTTCTTACTTCCTTTTCAATTGCAATTCTGTATTCAGAAACTATTGCTTGATATAAAAAACAAAAAACAGGGGTGGGCCTTTGTCTAGTGGTTAAGACACTGCTTGGGATGTCCTCATCCCATACTGCAGTGCCTGGGTCTGAGTCCCAGCTCCGCTCCCAACCCCAGCTTCCCGCTAATGTGCACTCTGGAAGACAGCAGGTGATGGCTCAAGTGCTTGGGTCCCTGCCACCTGTGTGAGACCTGGATTGTGTTCCCAGCTTCTGGGCACCTGGGGAGAGAGCTAGGGGATAGCTGCTCTGTCTCTATTTCTCATATAAACACATAAAATTCTAAAAAATAATAGAAAACAAAGTTCATAGTTAAAACGATTTATTTAGAGAACTGAACATATTTGTACACTACTTTGTGTGTATGTGCTCAGGGAGTGGTGGCGAGGGATGAGGGAGCAGTTTCCTTGACACAGTTTTAGAGTCTAGTTTCATAAGAAGAAAAAGACAAGTTTTGTACATCAATGGTCAATATGACATGAAAACGTTCTTTTATGGAAAAGAAACTCTTGCAATTTAATCCTATACACAAGAAGTAAAATTCATTATTTTAGTGAGACAAAGGAGTAGTTCTACTTATTCTTTTGTCTTCCTCTCCCTCCTTCAGAATGTATATGGAGCAAGCACTCTTCATCTTTTTGATACCATAAACCTTTAGATGTCTGGTGGAAAACAATAAACACCTTCTCAAAACAGCCTTTAAATGTGTTAAATAACATAGAATCTCAAAAGATGCCAATTACATTAAAATAGTAAAAAAGTAAAAATATTTAACATGCAAGTGTATGAAATATTAATATATGGATTTATTTACTAATATACTAAATAACAAGATCTGGTGATGAGCCCATTGGTGTTTCAAAATAATTAGAAATTTAAACAATATTTTCTAATTTATGCAATAAGTATAATGTGTTCAAAAATCTGTAACAAGCTGTTGACATCATTTTTTTTAAAGATTTTTTATATATTTATTTGAGAGGTAGAGTTACAGAAAGTGAGAGGGAGAGACAGAGAGAAAGGTCTTCCTTCCATTGGTTCATTCCCCAAATGGCCACAACGGCTGGAGCTGCGCTGATCTGAAGCCAGGAGCCAGGAGCTTCTTCCAGGTCTTGGGCCATCTTCTACTGTTTTCCCAGGCCACAGCAGAGAGCTGGATTGGAAGAGGAGCAGCCAGGACTAGAACCAGTGCCCATATGGGATGCTGGCGCTGTAGCTGGAGGATTAACCTACTGCGCCATGGCGCAGGCCCCGACATCATTGTTTTTTTTTTTTAACTTTTATATAATAAATATAAATTTCCAAAGTACAACTTTTGAATTATAGTGGCTTTTCCCCCCATAACCTCCCTCCCCCTGCAACCATCCCATCTCCTGCTCCCTCCCCCATCCCATTCTTCATCACGATTCATTTTCAATTATCATTGTTAATACTAACTATAGGGGCCAACACTGTGGCACAATGGGTTAGTCCTCTGCCTGGGGTGCCGGCATCCCATATGGGCACTGGTTTGAATACTGGCTGCTCCTCTTCCAATCCAGCTCTCTGCTATGGCCTAGGAAAACAGTGGAGGATGGCCCAAGTCTTTGGGCCCCTGCACCCTTGAGGGAGACCTGGAGGAAGCTACTGGCTCCTGGCTTCAAATCAGTGCAGCTCCCACCATTGCAGCCATTTGGGGAGTGAACCAGCAGAAGGAAGACCTTTCTCCCTGTGTCTCACTGTCTGTAACTCTACCTCTCAAATAAATAAATAAAGCCTTTTAAATGCAATGATAATACATATTTTAAAAATACTAACTATAGTATATTCATAATTGTAGAAAATGCTAACACAAATGGAAATACAAGTGCATGATTTCCTTCCTAATTTTATATAACTATGAATCCCACTCAGACCAGAAACCCCTTTTATGGAACAAGGTTCTTAGGACTCACTGTGCTGTCTTCGACAGCCTTGTAAATATCAGACCAAGGAAACTGCTGGTGAGTGCACAGTTACATATTTTCCAGAAGGTGTCAGACTTGCATTTCTGAACAATGAAATTCATTCACTGCTGGTTTGCCTCCCAGCCTAACAAATCTGCTAATTTATTTTCTTCTTTTTAAAAAGGTTTATTTATTTTATTTGAAAGAGTTACGGGGTGGGGGGGTGGGGATCCTCCATCTGTTAGTTCACTCCCCAATTGGCCACAATGGCTGGAGCTGCTCCAATCCAAAGCCAGGAGCCAGGAGCCTCCTCTGGGTCTCCCACATGAGTGCAGGGGCCCAAAGACTTGGGCCATCCTCCACTGCCCTCCCAGGCCACAGCAGAGAGCTGGATCCGAAGTGGAGCAGCCAGGACTTGAACCAGTGCCCACGTGGGATGCCAGTACTGCAGGTGGCAGCCCCACACACTACGCCACAGCGCCAGCCCCCTGATTTACTTTCAAGATAAATAATCCAAGCAAATGAGGTGAAAAATGCATGCTTATTTCAAAGAGAACCAAAGTATTTTTATGGAACAAATTCTACAGACTAACAAAGTATTGTTTAAAGAAAGAAACTTTGTGGCTAAGAACAGTCTAAAGAAAGGGAATTGTCTTTATGTATTCTCAGTGTGAAGGCAGGACTGATGTCAGCAAGGAAGACACTGTGGGGTTTCTAAAAAACACATCATAGATGACTTATGGTCTATAAATAAGGATAATTTATATCCTCACAGAGGAGTCCAAACAGTGGAGAATTATAGAAGAGAAGAGATGTGAAAATGCAGGTGAGAAGCAGAGGGTTTTCAGTACAAAGCACAGATTAGATGATGGCTTTTCCTTTTGTCTGAGTTGTGCCCTCAGAATTCTTCAAACTCTCCCAGAAAACAAAGAATTTACTGGAAATCTATTGCATTGAATAAAAGATGTCTCCTATAGAAATCATTATTCTTATAAGGACTGTAGAGCTTCCAACATATCCAAGACATGAATGTTTAATTTTTCAGTAGGTTTTCTTAAATGAATGACTTATTACAAATGGATAGGTTCTTACTATGTGTATTGCATTTCGAGGAATTAGTTCAGTTTTCATATTATAATTTCTGACTGATCCTCATTTGAAAATCACCTCTATAATTGTCTACAATATTGTTCAAAATGATTTGCCCTTTTTAGAAAGGACTAATGTCAGCCGGCGCCGCGGCTCACTAGGCTAATCCTCTGCCTTGTGGCGCCGGCACACCGGGTTCTAGTCCTGGTAGGGGCGCCGGATTCTGTCCTGGTTGCCCCTCTTCCAGGCCAGCTCTCTGCTGTGGCCCAGGAGTGCAGTGGAGGATGGCCCAAGTACTTGGGCCCTGAACCCCATGGGAGACCAGGAGAAGTACCTGGCTCCTGCCATCAGATCAGCGCGGTGCGCTGGTCGCAGAGCGCCAGCCGCGGCGGCCATTGGAGGGTGAACCAACAGCAAAAGGAAGACCTTTCTTTCTGTCTCTCTCTCTCTCTCACTGTCCACTCTGCCTCTCAAAAAATAAAAAAATGAATAAAAATAAGAAAGGACTAACTTTGCTTTTATTAATCACAAGCAGAAATTACATATGTCAGGTCCCAATCATAGTTTGAATAGCCCCTGAGTGGTTCTGCCATTTCTTTTTTTCCTTTCCTCTGACTTGAGAATGAAATGTCCTAGACTAAGAATACTCCAGAAAGACTAGATTTTGAAGCCATCTCTAGTTCAAATATCCTAATTTATTGACAGTATAACCAATTTTATTTTTAAAAATAATTATCTTAAAATGCATGATTGTACTTACATGAAGTTCAAAAATAGGAAAAATAAAGCTATATCATTGAGTTAAAATTGCATCCTTTGAAGGAGAACTGGAGTAATAATTGGGTTGGTACAGAGGAGGGGCTTCAAGCAGTGGTAGATCTTCTATTTTTTTGGCCTGGATGGACAGATGAGTGAATAGTTCATTGATATATTTGTGTACTTTTCTACAATTAAAAAGCTTAAAAATATTGTCATGGCCACCATAGTCTACCCAAAAAAGCATAAGGAATTCAGTGCTGAGAATGAACAAACTGACAGAAGAGGTTCATTCAGTTGTATAACAGACAAAAGCACAACCTCATCTTTCCTGGCTTTATGGGAGAGGAACCAAGTGCAATTCAATCCAGCATATTTTTTCCCTAAACTGAGTTATGGAGTGTTCTTAGTTTTTTCCAGTTTATGCTTTTCTTATTTGAAACTTCTCTGGGAAAAATGACATAAGTTAATTATATTATAATAGGCAATTATATATCATGTAATTAGGTAATTACATAAAGAATAAACTACAACTATAATAAGTACTCTAACATACTGCATTCTGAGTATATTAACCTTATCTCTACCACACTGTTATTAGCTCACAGAGGAGCAAGAGTTTCCCATACACAATCCCCCAGTGTAGAAGAGAAAAGCAAGCAAATTAATTTGTTTAATAAAAATTAACTCAATGAATAAATAGTCCCAGAGGCAAAGCTTCTGTCTGCTCCCTCCACGGTCTGCAGAAAGTGTCCAGTTCTGAGCAGAATCTCTCACTCTTCAGGGCTCACCTTGACCTTCCTATCCCTTCCCTCAGTCTTCTCACAAAGCCTCTTCAAGCACAACTCAGAGCCTTTGACAATGAGGCAGCTTTCTCTGTAACTACTAAGAAAATGAGAGTTGACCCTCAGAGGGTATTCTCAGGATGCATTCGAGCACCTCTGAACATTTTGGCAGAGCTGTAAGGCTGATGGAATTCTAAGACACAGACACTGGGCTTTGGGGTCTCTGATGGTCAGAGGACAGGAAGGGAATAAAGAGCCCAGAGGGAACTGAATTCTTGCTTCCTTCCTATGCAAGGCAGCCAAGGAAATGTTTCCCAAACATTTTCCCTACCATTCGAAACATAAGAACCAAAAACAGTGGGAAAAGAACAGACGTGATTTTAATGACTTCAGCAGTGCTTATGACAGCCCATAAGGGAGACATTTCCAGGGCTGGTGTTGTGGCGCTGCATCCCATATGGGCACCAGTTTGAGTCCTGGCTGCTTCAGTTCCAATCCAGCTCCCTGCTAATGTGCCTGGGAAAGCAGAGGAAGACGGCCCAAACCCATGCACCCACGTGGGAAACCTAAAAGAAGCTCCTGGCTCCTGGCTTCACTCTGGCCCAGCTCTGGCTATCGTGGCCATTTGAAGAGCTAACCAGTGAATGGAAGATCTCTATCTCTCCTCCTCTCTCTGTAACTCTTGTCTTTCAAATAAACAACATTAAAAAAAAAAAACAGAAAAGAAGAGAAATATCACATTTCCCAGACTCCCTTGTTGCTAGGTATGCCCATATGTCTAAGTTCTAGCCTATGTGATGACTGTGATTACAAATGGTTACTACAGGTCACACCTTTAAGAAGAGACACAACCCTCCTTTTCCTTTTCTCCTTTCTTCCATCCTTCTCACTGGCATGTGCAGGTAATGGCAGAACAACAAAGGGAATACTTTATGGATGTAAAACAAGGTAAAAGAGGTTTGGGTCCTGGATAACTTGGTAAGGAACTACTACCTTACAGCTTTAACCTTGATATAAGAGAAAAATAAATTTCTGTCTTGTGTTAGTCCTTGTTGTTCTCAGTCTTTGAAACATGAAGCCAAGCCTGTCTCTTAAGTGGTACAGAGACTACCAGCTTAGAGGTCCTCAACTGGGAAGGGGGTGTTGATTTTTGACCAGGGAATATTTGGCAATGTCTAGAGACACTTGTGGTTGTCACATTTGGGGAAAGTGGGCAGAGACTGCTGTTGGCAGCTAGTGGATAGGAACACTGCTAACCAACTTACGATGCAACAGCACAGTCCTCTTTCCCACAAGAATTAAGCAGCCCAAAACATCAATAGTGCTGACACTGATGTCACCAAAGTGCCCTAGCTAGTAGCAAAGAGAATTCAAGTCTAGGAAAGACTGGATGACAGGCCATGCTGCCACTTCCTTGGTCTCCTGATGCCCAAGGCATCGTTCTGGTTTTAGATTTTTAAATGTGTCATTTTACCAGTCCTCAAACCAGGCATTTCAATATGTGATATGGGCATATTAACTGCTGAGCCAAATGCCTTCCCCATCACCAAACTTTTATTGAGCATCTATTTAATATAAATCTCTAGGCTAGACACCAGTTTCAAATATAGTTGTGGATTTAAGATACATACAAATAAGATACATACAATAAGGACAGCAATGCATGGAGAAAATGGCAGTGCGTAGAGAGGTTCCTGAAAGGAGTGGGTGGCCATTGAAAGGAGAGTGAGACCTTGGTTGGCTACAATGGACCAAGTATGGTAACAGAGCCAGGTCTCCTGGTCCTGTGGATGTCTGTGATGGGGTTTGGACACCAAAGCTTTCACTCAGCTTGTCACATTATCTTTCATAGCCCCTGGGCACAGGCTCCTTCCCTCAGCACCCATGACAGACTTTTTCTATGTTGCAATGCTCAGCACCTCTTCTCTGCCATCGTATGGTGGCAGCGACCTACTTTTCCTTGGCAAGGCTTCACTTGCAGAATCTAGATGGTTACGTTGGGGTGCCAGTCGTAGGCCTGTATTAAAGGTATTCTCTGCCTGTAAAAAATAAAATAAAATAAAAAGAAAGAAAAAAAAAAAGGTATTCTAGATTCCACCTTCCAGACACTTTCTTTACCTGCCTGGCCTGCATGGTTGCATCTAGAGGTCCCATTTCTTTTGGTTTCCACCTTTGGTTTGGCCATGGTGGGGAGGGGATGGGTGGAGATAGGAGGAAGGAAGGAGATTGAGATAGGGATCTTTTTCCCTGGGCGACATCTCTACCAGCTTTGGGACAGCTGACTGTGTTCTCCCATTGAGGAGCACATCTTCCATCAGGAAGGCTTTAAATGTGGCTACTTTCCTCTTCCTCTTCTCCTACACCCTTCTGACTTCAAGGTGGGATACTGCACCACTCCAGGTTAGCTTCCATAAACACTGTCAGGCTACTGTAAGTAGTCCTGTGAATGAGCTATACTGAAAGTCCCCAGTCTGCGTGTCCTTGCTGCTAGAAACTCGACTGCTGTAAAAATCTACATTCCAATAAGCAAGCACACCTCCCAAGTCTGGCCCATGGAACTGGTTGTGGTGATTGGTTCACAGGCTGGGCATCTAACCCAAAACAGAGCCAGTCAACTCCCTTTCATGAGGTTTGGAGTAAGACACTGGAGGATGGTGGCTCTCCCTTTGCTCCTCCGATAAATCTGCCACGGTCTGTGGAGGCTTTCTCCTATCCTGCCAGTAGAGGGAGCCCGTGTTTGGTAGGAGAGAATGAGACTGATCCAGACAGAAACAGAGCAGAGAGGTGAAAATATTGTCTGAATCCTTGGTCCACTCATTTTTGAGGCCCTTCTTTGCAGTTGAGTGTACCAATAAACCCCTTTTGTGCTAATTCTGGTTTGATTGAGGTTTCTATCACCAGCAGAAATAATCTTGATATGGAGTGCACTGATCCATCCATATCCATGCTAAATGTGGCTTTTGTAAAAATTGGTTAGAACATTGGTGTTAAGAAAGCGTTTCTGGAGAGTTTGGGATCACCAAACTGTCCAGTTTCCTTCAGAAACACCCCATGAGGGGACTAGAACCCAATTCCTTCAGGAAAAACAGGCTATCAGGAGGCAAACTTAATTTTTGTTTTGCTGTAACTGACTATTGCTTAGGCTGAAATAATTTTTCTAATGCCCCAATGACAAAAAATTGTCCCTGCCTTGTCCAACCACAGACATCTCTCTCCTCTCTTCACCTACAAGGGTTGACCTAATAGACTCTTTCCTGAAGGCTAAGAACTACTCTGGGGAACAGAAACAAAACAAAGCAAAGCAAAAATAAGAAAAAAAAAAAAAAGACAAAACCACTCACATCCAGGTTAAAAATCCACACCCAAATACTGACTTTTTACTTAGTCACCTCACCTCTCTGAGTGCCAGCTTTTCCCCGGACATTTGAGATGAACTTGGGCGCAGGAAGTAAGTCTGTGATGAGAGGTATCCTGGGATGGTGGGGGAGAGGAGTTATTTTTTCTTCAGTAGTGAGGAGAGACCTGGGAAGATCTTGAAAAAGTCCCTACACGGATCCATGGACAATTCCAGATCACAGCCATTTTCTGCTATTCAGCTGATAATCCTGACTTGATTTGGAAGGAAGCAGGAATGCTGGTGGCAACAGATGGAATCTTACTCCTCACCCTGGAATAACTATCTAGAATGTGCTTCCAGCAGGCTCTGTGCACTGCCCTGGCAAGGCTGGCCCTGAAAAGCCCCTACCAGGAAAGCTGGCCTCCTCTGTAAGTGCAGGGAGCCACATTCCCAGAGCCATGTGAAAAGGCCCAGAAGATAGTTTGCATAGTAATTCCCTAGAAAGAAAAGGATAAAAGTCTTCTGACACTTCAAGAAATCCCCCAGCGGCACCAGCAGATAAAGCAGGCACCTTTTGCCTGTCTTCCTCTATAATTCTTTTGCCTTTGACCACACTTTGACTCCACAGTTTGGGTTGGGAATGCCAGGGCGCATATTTTCCCACTCTTGGTCACACCGCATCAGTTGGAACCCCCGCCAGTATATGCATGTTCCTAGGGCAAGAGCAGATCTACCCTTTGATATTTAAATCTGAACTGTTTATTTTAGTGGCTCTGCTTCACAAATAGCATTTAAATATACCATGTTGTGATTTTTGTTCCCCAAATATGACTCCCTAAAGAAAAGGCCTGTGCTGTGTGGTAACTTGCAGGCCATGACTACAGTGGGTAACCGCTTTATTTCTGTCCTTTATGTAGCTGACCATACATTGTTAGCCTTGAAACCAAACTTTCAAAAAACCTTTGGGACTTTGGAAACATTGCTTTCTTCTCTATGCTTCAATTTCATGAAGTATAA